AGAGAGAGAGAGAGAGAGAGAGAGAGAGAGAGAGAGAGAGAGAGAGAGAGAGAATGAGAATATCACAAACCTCAACTAAAACCAAAGGCAGCCAAAGCAAGCTTCTGGAGCCAGCGGTTGAAAAAAAGCACACTATTTAATGATTAGAGGGATGAATGATTGCATGATTACGTACGTGCCCTTCAATGAGTGGTTGCCATCGACCCGGGTATCAATTCTGTGGCGGTTGCATACGTCACTACGTCATGCACAGCGCTATTTTAGTTACCCTTTATTTCTCTTTCGTTTAGTTTTGGTCAGCGTTTAACGGCTCTTGCAACACAATTAGGCCATGTAAGTGCCGAAGACTAGAGATGTTACAAGAGAGTAACAGACACAAAAAAGGAGGAGAGATAAGGACGTTAGATTTTATTATTTTTTACAGAAAAGGAGCAGACCACATCAGAGCACCCGCCAACCATCCACTTTTACTTCTCTTAAACCAAAGTCTAAACGTGCGGTTGAAAAGCGCTATTCTTTTGTCCAGATTCCAATTTTAGGTTGAAGGATCAATACTAATGATCTATAACATGAGGTGGTAGAAATAACAATAGTAATAACTATATAACTTCAGTATTAACTGTTATCGTAATGCTGTTGAAAGGTCCTATATCCCGATGCTCAATGAGTCTTTTTATCTTGTTAGAGTGACCTGTTAGTGCATGAGATGTCTGTCTGAGATAGGGGAGACAACACCCAAGCTAGTGTGTTCATCGAGGAAAAGGTGACAGTTCTGTTTTAGTACGCATCTGATGGCACTTGCAACACAATTAGGTCACATTAATGTCGAAGATTAGAACAGCGACAAGAGAGTAACAAACACAAACAAGAAGGAGGAGAGATAAATAAGCTCGACAGATGTATGATAGGAAAGAAGGAGCAAATCAAGCACCCGCCAACCACCCACTGGTGACAGTTCATTTCTGACACCGACAGAATTAACTCGACAGACACGGCCACTCAATATTACTGCTACAACCATATTGTACTTGTTTGGCCTTAGTTTCGTTTTAGTAAGAGTTTTAAGTCCCTTGCAACACAAATAGGTCATATTAGTCCTGAAGATTAGGGTTTGAAAACAGGCAAACAAGATATTTTGAAAAGAAAAAAGAACTGAACACCACTACCTATACCCCATCCCCTTATGAGTCTTTTTGTCCGTGTTTGTGTAGAATATAATACAATATACATCTTTAGCCTATGTGTATGCATTTTATTTTTTTTTCAAAGTCTCCCCACAGAGGAATCGAACTCACGTCTTGTAACTATGTGCGAGGGCCAAGTGCGCAACGGATACAAAACATTGGACTGTCGTCTGTGAGTATCTGTCCACCGTACACTTATATGCATGCATGCACGCACAAACACACATATACACACATATACACACATACACATGCACACGTACACGCACACACACACAAACAAACACACACACACACACGCGCGCGCACATACATACACATACATATACAAAGACAGACACACACACACACACACATGCACACACATACACGCGCACACACACACACACACACACACA